ACACACACACACACACACACATATAGATATAAATTACACATATAAATGGTACATCTACGAATAAAGCACGGGAAACTGAAAGGCACCAAGGGATGCGCACAGAGAGACATTTACATGTTCATAAATAAAACAATACAAACAACTCTTGGAAAGGAAAAAGGCAAAAATTAAAAAGCGAAAGAAAGAAATGCAGACTTGTTAACACACATAAACCTATCCTGACCTATGAATAAAAGTAGTAGTGAAAAGACACATTCATTTGAATTTATTTAAATAAAAGTGTATTTCTTTGCTGAAGATAATACTGATCAGGTGCAGATATTTTCCCTTTTCTCTGTTCCAAAAACCCAAACCCAAATTTACAAAAATCATGTGGTGTCTTTCCAACACATTTGCTTCTTCTGCATGGGATTCATTCCGTGTGATGTATTCAGGTGCTGCACTACAAGACAAACAACTGTGATGTCTCTTGTCTGTGTTTTCCCTGATTGTCCACAAGCCCAAACGGTCTGAGATTACTGCAGAGAGCACCTCGTAAAATGACTGCTTGTTCCCACTTTTCTCCCTCTCTTCTCTGTATTTTCTCTCTGTCTTTCATGTTGTTTCACACCCTGCATTCTCACTGCAGGCAACATGACTGATGTGTTGCTCCATTCTGGCAAATAGTGACTGTATGCTGTTGTTGTAGCGCTATAAAGTGCTGCTTTGACAGGCTCCCTCTGAGGCCACAGTTATGAAAGCAATGAAAAGCCATGTGTTTCTATTTCTTTAGGTCTGTCTTCCCTGATGTTTCCTCATTTTGAGGAGACTTAGCTTACTAGAAAGCATTATTTAGCACAGTAGCACAATAATGTTTTTCTTTTTTCTTCATCTTGCTCTTTTATGTTTGTCATTGTGCAGTTGTATAGCTACATACATTTTATTGCCCAACCATGTTGTTACAATGTTAAGAAAGCGTTAATACGTGAGTAAGTGTCCAAATATACGATCATAATGTAGCGTAGATGACGAATGCTACAATGCGATACCGTCTGTTTACCTTACCTGGGTTGTTAGTCTGCATTTTTCTTATTGTCATCAAATTCAATGAAAATACCGGAACAGCAATGCATCAGCCCATGTGTCAATACTTTCCATTCACGACCTTGTCTGTGGCAATCAAACCCCAAGCCCAACTATTCCTAAAAAGTCTTTAAAAAGTCAGGTCACAAATAGATTTCGGAGAAAGTCTAAACAATTTCCGAAAACAGCTGGGCACTGTAGTTTTTAGCAAACATTACTCAAATAAGAGTAAACACTGTGATTGTCAGGGACTATTTTTAGCTGCGGATCCGTTCCAGGCCGAACTGGCCGGTGGTCGTAGAGTGGTTACTGTATGGTCCTCGGCCGTGGCGTTGGTTACTTTGGTGAAAATGTCAGACTGGTCCAATCTAATACTTTCAATATTGAGGGGGGGATACGAGCGGCTCCTCAGAATTTGGACTGATTACCGTTTTTCTTTGGGTTTTTGTTGGTATCTGATTGGCTCAGTCATTGTGAACCTGACAAACTGTGACTAGTGACAGCTCACCTGGCCGGTCTTGTTTTGTTCAGTGCAGTGTTGACTTGCTCATACAAACCGAGGAGGCAGGTGGCAGCAAGACATCCTAAAGTGTCTTGAAGGTTCTTCAGATGCTTTTTACACCACAAACTATTAGTGTTTCAACTACTGCCAAAAACAAAGGGTTTGGCTCGCAGGCTCCAGGCGCTTGCATGAAAGACCTCTCCATCTCAAAGTCCCAGGGCTGAATTTAATTTTTTCTTGGCCATGGCACACATTCTTTAATTTTAAATTCATGTAATCGTGAACTGGGAAATTTGAATTTCTGAGAGAGACGCAAAACCTCGACCAAAATGTTGCTTGGGCAGTGTGGAAATCTGATGATGGCTCATTGTTTCATTATTGATTATTCTTTTAATCGTTTAGTCTGTAGCAGGCCAACATCAATTGCCAAATGCCCATCACAATTACCCTCGGCCCAGTGACCGATTCACATTTGTGAGTAGTAGTCAGAGTCACTTCTCCCGAGGGTAAGGAGCATCAGGATAATATGAAAATTACAAAAGCAGGAAATCCTCACATTAGCTGCAAGCAGCAAATATGCAGGTTTAAGATTATCTTGAAAATATTCTTCAAATAGTTTTGAATAAAAAGAATCAGAAATGTCATGCTTCTCTCCCTCTTTTTGTCTGTATTCTGCTTCTCCATTTCATGGAATGGGCTTCAAAGTGGAGAGAACTTCAGTCTACCAGCCTCGTGATTCTCTCCATCTCTGCACTTTTTTCCCCTTCTGCAGCTTTCCCGTCCTCCTTAATTCCCAACTGAGCGCTCCCACGTCCCTCATCAACTTTTTCTGAGTTTTACTTTTATTTGACTTGTGTGAGAGAGGAGGTAGCTATAACACAGGTTATTGTCATTTTATAAGAGACTGAGTTTAATTTTGATTTTAACGTCCTCTTTCTCTCTCTCTCTCTCTCTCTCTCTCTCTCTCTCTCTCTCTCTCTCTCACATACACTAACAAATCAATTATTTTCCAGTTTGCTTCATTGGCTATAAGGAGTGTGATGTACAGCATTGCCAAAGCAAATTAATCGATTTAATTCATTATTAAAGCAAGAATGTGAACACATAAAGCATTCAACCTGGTAAACAAATTCCTAGGATTAAGAAATAACAGAACGGGCACTTGGATCTAAACACTTGTAATCCATCTGTACAGATTCTAGGAGAAAATGTTCTCAAGAAAGAAAACCCACATTCTAATGTAAAATAACCGGTGATGCAACACGTAGCAGAGATGTGGTCCACATGTTAACCTCTGTGTCCTCTGTCTCTTCCACAGGGTCCCATAGAGAACGATGTGGTGATTCACGTGGCCCTGATAGCAGAGAGCCAGAGGTAATGTGTGTGTGTATGTGTGTGTGTGTGTGTGTGTCTATAAGTCTCTTAACATGTTGAAGGCCAGATCTATCAGTGCTGTAATTGTGGTGAGCTCATAAACCTGGAGCCCAGCCTGACCTCTGCCATCGTCTATCACTCTTCCCGTTGTGCGTGTGCGCGTGTGCACGCTTGGTTCCACGTCTACGAGCGTGGGTGTGTGTGTGTCAAACAAGGTCAAATGACTCTGTGAAGCTTGTTAACCTGTAGCTTCAATTACTGCGGCTGGAAAATTCCCATTAGGAGGACTCGTGAATCATCTTTCTCACTGCAGTCCACTTATGCGGTCCATTTATGCTCTCCAATATACAGTGTGGTGGTTCAATAACATAAGTTCTTAATGGATAAAGATTTACAATCGACCCGATTTATGTTCACAAGAACAAAAGTCCAATAGATTTATTCACCTTCTATTGTCACAGCAAGAGTTCAAGGACTGACTCATGAAGCTCCAGATTTCCAAAGGGAGAATCTAGATAGATAGATTCAAAGGTCAAGAGCGGCTGTAGAACAGCAAAGAAGATTCAGAAGGGGATGGATAATTAATTCCAGCTTTCCTTTTTAAGATGAATAAAGTAACAAACAATTAAATAAATGTGTGTGTGTGTGTGTGTGTGTGTGTGTGTGTGTGTGTGTGTGTATATATATATATATGTGTGTGTGTGTGTGTGTGTGTGTGTGTGTGTGTGTGTGTGTGTGTGTAATTTGGGACTGGAATAAAGGCAGGGGAAACTCCAACAACTACATGTAAAATGCCTAAAATTATAAATAGTGATTTTATGTCTGTGTGTTTGTGTAGGCTTCAGGTGTTTTTGAACACCTATGGCATTCAGACCCAGACGCCCCAGCAGGTGGAGCCCATCCAGATCTGGCCTCAGAAGGAACTGGTCAAGGTAACGCATGTTGGTCACACATTAGTCACCAAGTTTACAAGCCGTATAAAGGCTCCCATCCTTGCGTAAACTACAAACATCATGGTCGCGTTGAGTTATAGTCTACTGCAGTCAAATGTTTGAGACTATTACTGTTTATGAGGAATGGAACAAGAAGTACATTTATTTTCAGCAGCAACAATAGCAGCCCAGTTACGTCATGAAACTGAAATTCACTATCTGAATCACAATCCCATATGACACTTTCATTATAAGTCAGCGTTCTTAACAAAAGAGATGGGATTCAATAGGATTTAATCAAAACTGAATCCAGCAGCGAGTCTGCTCGTCAAATCTAAATCCTTTGGAAATCCCTTATCTTATTTATTCAACTTTCAAGGCCTTTACACCTCAAGGGTGTGATGAATATATACGACACAAAAATACCCAAACACAAGCTTGCCAATATTATATTTGCTTTCATTGTGAAAGGTAAGAACGGAAGGAGTGAATCTGGTACGTGCTTCCTTTGTCATGGTTTGAAGAGGTCGCAAACTCAAAGATCGTTGTTCAAATACTCAGCTCTGTCTAGAAAAGTGGACTTTGCCAGGACGGAAGAACTGCCGAATCTTTTGTGAGTGTAGATATTCCAACGAGATGACAGAATTATCAACAGTAGAGTTACTCAGTGTCAGGAATTTACAGGTTGCGGCCGAAATTCCACTAACATGCTATTTAGTACTGTAAAACAGTACATGAGATGTTTTAGTTTGTCTGAAACCACAGTATGAAACCAATAGTACGCAACATGCACACTATTTTGCGTGAAAAAAATCACAGTAGGAAAACACTGGACATTCCACCGGCATCAATATCTCACAATGCAATGTGGTGGCGACAACGTTCTTAATAACAGACAATAAGGGACAGCTCTGTAACGTCAATAGCTCTTCAGCTTTAGTGTAGTTATAAGATTTCACTTTGGTTGGCATAGGTTACGTGCAGGCGGCTTCCTCTGGGTCTGAAAAGTGAAGCCAATGCGGAAGTGCCTTACACTTGCATTCTTTGGTTCCTCTGGTTGCAAAAAGGCGTCCTATTGTTGAGAGGTCTATGAGAAAATGACCCCACTAGTCCCTAGATTTGTTACCTCAACCGCTAGCTTCAAGTCTTTTTACAATACAGCATGATGTTCATTTAGTAAATTATAGTCACATTTTGAGCAAAATAGACGCGGTATGCTTTAGGTCGGGGCTACCTTGTGATTGGCAGGTCGTTACTGCGCCGTTTTCCGGTCTGGGAGTTTTCCTGCTTTCTTCTTACAACTACAACCCTTTCACAGTGTGTTTTCAGTTTATGAAAGGTAATCGTAACATTTTAGTTACTGCCACCCTCCCTCCTTCTGGTTGCAAAATTCCAAGATGGCAACATTCAAAAAACCAAGATGGCGTCGGCCACAATGCCTAACTCAAGGCTTCAAAACAGCAGTTGACGTCACAGAGACTAAATCCCCTTCTTATATACAGTCTATGGCGTCTCCACCCGGCAAGGAAGCTTTAGGAAGTTAGGTGGTAAATACAGTTCAGTATGTGTGAAAAGATACAAACTACTGTTTATTCACAAAGAAGTAAGCTTTAACTATTATTGAACATTATATGAGCTCAGCGTTAGCTGCTATTTCCATCCTGTCCACTCTGCGTCGTTCATCTACAGCAGATTACACCATTTGTACTGTCATATCTGTGACACCACCCACTACCTCGCCTCCAACTTCTGTTGCACTCCCATCACATCTGTCACTCAAACCCTCGGCTCTCCTCCCGATACTGTCTCTCATCTGCATGTGTGCTGTTTGAAGTCTACTAGTATCTCCCCATCTTCTGTCTCTCCTCTGTCATACCTGTCACTCTAACCCTGGTCTCCTGCCTCGCCTCTGTCCCTCATCTGTCATGTCTGTTATGTAGCGTCTATTCTCCACGTTAAGGTCTCTAAACAAACAATTCCTGCTTTTCTTGTCCTCTCCCCAGGCTCCATTCTTTCCTCCAGGCCTTTCTATCTTCTACCCTCTCCTGTTATATCCGTCCCATCCGCTTCCCTAACCCCACTCTCCCCTCTAGGCCCTACATCCTGTCCCGCCCCAATTATGTCCGTTACACCAAACAACGCTCCCCTCCAGGTCTATCATCTGCCTTTGAACTGTCATACCTGTTACTTTTTCCTCCTCTGCCTCTTTCTGCTGCGTGGTGCTCAGCCTCTCCGATGGATATGCAATTGTAAGTCAGAGCGGGCGCTGTGCTGAATATTAAATCCCAAGCCCAGACAGACGCTTCTTCCTCGACAGGATCTGTTTATCTCGGAGTCACCACCATCTCCAGTGCTGCGGGCCCGCCTTTGCTCACCTCACCTCGTCCCTTGCAGCCGTTTCATTGTGTTGACAACAGCTGCCTGACGACGGGAAAGTGGCAATTACATTTTGCAATGTGTTATTCCCACACGTACAACCTGAAGCGTATCCCTTTGCAAATCACTGCTTTGCCCAAAAATAGCCTTTCCTTTTAGCTGTTTCTCTCCCGGTTTCATATCTGTTAGTCAGTGTGGACATCTTGGTGGACGACATTTTGTTTGTTGGAGGCTCTCACACATGTTGCAGTTACAAGCAACAGCTGGAGTCATGTCAATAAAGCCCTAAAGAGACACTCTGAACAAAGAATTTAAAGGGAAAGTACGGTATTGTTCCACCTGGGTCTCATTCTTATATTTTTGTCATTTAGAATTTTGATCATAATAACAACAACTCAGAGATTAGGAAAATGTGAGGCAGTACAAGATTACAACAGCTCAAACAGTTGTGTTACACAAAGTACAGAAAGCAGTCCCATCATCACGGTTCACACTTCAGACTCCCTCTATTGTACACAGTGGCAGTTTATGAAAACTGCAGTGTTTAACTTTTTTTTTTACGTTTTGCAATTGGAAACTTAGAGACTCCAACCATCTTCTCACATTTGTGACTGCCTCTGCAGCATGTAGCTTATTAGTAAAGCTGTACATTGCCCCTATGGCTGTCGTTCTTGCATTTCCCAAATACGTCCAGCAGACGCGTTGACCGTCATAAATAATAAATGGGTAGTAGTATGGGAAGAAGGCCCATCTTGACAAATACCAGAAGAGTTATTGGTCGCTGTAATAATTCCTCCTCTCCATACTGGCTGTGAAGAGACCCCTTCTTCATGTGAAAACTACAGCTCGGCAAGGAAATGCTATCTGAAGGAATTTTGAACTGAAAAAATGGTAACTTTGGGAGACACCCGTTTTGATTTGACTTATAGCGACTGTAGAAGCCATTAGCTTCGCCCGAAGTTTAGATTCTGGATTTTCAACCCCATTGCTTACGAAGAAGTCACTCTAGTAAGAGATTGCTTCACAGCAAGAACAGTTACAGTGACCAGCAACGCTTTCAATGTACATATGAGGATGGGATAACTGAAAGAGAAACATGAAAAACTACATACCCGTCCATTAAAGACATTTTATGGGGCAGTCTGGTTCAAGAAACCCTTTCAGAACCAGAAGGTTTAATCCCAGATTCAATAGGGCACACACTGTGTCACTTTAAGCCATGTGGCAAGCTGCTGAACCCCCTACCTGCACGCTAAATCCCTCTGGATGACAGCACCTGCTGTAAAAGTAAATCTGTTTTGCACATTCTGCGACACCAACGGTTACATTTACACTAATCGGGGCACCAATGCAGCAGCAATAAACATGTGCAGGAACCTGTTCCTGTCTGAGTATTGTCCCTACGGTGAATTTAAAGTTTGGCAGCGTTTGGCAGTAAATAGTTGCACATTCTCACACATGTTGGTCACTGCAGAAGTGTAAAATACAGCTTTTAGATGCAGCCTTTCATTATCCCTCCCACCTGCCAGGCTTTCTGTTTGTGCCGCGGTCAGTAGAAATCTCAGGGAATGAAAGGATGCTTTGAAAGGCTTCCTGCGTGTTGTTTTTCTTCATTGGTATTCTGCACACAGGAAGTGTTGGGTGCAGAGGTTCCTCCAACCTCCCGTGGCTTTTCTCCTCTAGGTCTCATTCTTGCCTGTTAGGGCAGTGATTAGCAATGCCACTTAATCCTCAATTAACATTTCTCTTTCTTTTATACAAACATCGCACTTTTGCCTCTTTTAGTGTAATTTCTTGTAATTGGCACAGTTCTTGCTTCCTCGTGTCCTGGTGAGGAAGTGCATTGGAGTGGCAGAGCACCACCTTTTGGCTGACGTCGCGAATTGCAGCCAGTTTGAGATGGAAGAATGCGGCATTGAGTGCTTGATAGGCAAATTCCCTGCAGTGGCACTTCAGTGTGTGGGTGTACTGATGCTGTGATAGCACAGATTGGGAGGCATTTCAATTTAGAATTCATAGGCTGTCACAACGGGAATAAGTACTCTGGTTTCACATTCAGCCAGACACATCAGAAATGTGATTCACTCACGTACACAACCTCGGCTCACACACACACACACACACACATAATGGGTAACTTGTGGTGAGTGTGTCACACCACTGCGCTCCGAGGAATCAATGTCCATCCTCTCTCTATTTGCGTCTTTGAATGAGTACATTCGGCAGCGGCACAGCGGTGAGAAGCTTTTATGCGAAGCACCAAAGAAAAGCTTTGGAAAATGTGATGCTGCTGCTCTGTATCTTACCTGCTGCCATCTCTTAACACTTTTCATTTGACCTTCTCCTCTGCTTGGTTCGACGACTGGGGGCCCCTTTGATTGCGGATTTCTATTCATCTGTCTTGCTCTTTATATCTGGGTAGCTGTGTACCAGTATTACTTATGCCAGATTTAGTGCAGTGAAATGTAAATAAAGTCAAACAAAATGGTTGATAAGAGCAAGTGTTTAGGTTTGAGCTGAGTCAGCCCTACAAATCTGAATTGAACCTGTGGGGGAATTCTGCCTTTTTTCCGGCTTCACTGACACCACATCATTTCAGTCCACTAATTAGGTGTGAAACTTGACCTTAGCTACTCTGAGCCCATAGACCTGATCCAAACCCTGTTGGGAGTTGAGCGTTAATATCCAGCTCTCTCTTAGCCTCTGCTGATGTTAACTTAAAGTTGCTTTGTGCTTGAAAGCTGACTTGACTTGAGTCTTAAGACATGACTTCTGACTTGATTAAACTACGGTACTTCTGCTGTAGCGCCGGTTGGCCTGGAATTAAAATGTGTGGACATATTATGCATTGACCAAGTAGAAACCACCTACTCCCAATCTCAGATCATAGGACCTTTTCCCAAATTAAAACTATGGCAAACCTGGTGCTGAAAGTAGAATTAGAGTGTTTTATTGAGTAGAACATGTGGTGCTGTACCCAAGACAAACAACAACATACATTTGAAATGTTTTAGATGTATTTTAAATGAGTAATTTCTCAAATTTTAACTTCAGTTTTATTTGTCTAGAAACAAGGTCATATACTGGCAGCCAATCCACAGCAAGAAAAAAAACTCAGCTGGGAGATATTTTAACCTGTCGAAGGGGCACTGCAGCTGATTTCTACCTCTGTGCAGCATAGCACAGAGGTAGATGAGAACAGAACTGTTGGGACTGGCACATCTTCAGCATGGAAATCACAATGCTAATGCACCAGAGTTTAGAGTAACGATAGCAACTCTGTCCCGCTCAGTATTTGGCTTGGGAATAAGTTTACGCTCCAGCCAAAATCGTTACCTCAGATAACATGACGTTTGCCAAACTCTTGTAGAAATTAAATATATTATTGGAAAATACAAACAATAAAGCCCAAATTGACCCCTGTGCTGCTTGTCCATGTGTTTTTGTAAGCATCCCTGCATTGCAACATTTTCTTTTATGATACTGTGCTATAAAACTTGAGCTAACTAGCTTCCCTGCAATAAAGGAGCAATTGTATTTCTTTATTACTGTGTTTTGAGTCAGCTGGAGACCTCAGTGTTACATTTAAGACCCATTGTATCAAAAATATAACAATTTCAGTGGTAAATCTACCACCATTATTACTATAAACTGCATATGGGCCATACTAGAATGGGAAGTGTGACAGGTAACAGGGTTGGGGCCTGGTGAAGGGTCAACTACCACCAGCTAATATCTCAGATGGATTTGGCATTTTTAGCAGTGCATAATCTAAGTGGCTCAAGTGGAATCAAACAGCATGCGGCCCTTTATTTATTCTAATGAGGGCTCAGCTAGGTCTCAGTGTTTCCCCTTTTAGGCCTCTGCAAACAGACTTTTCAGCTCCGGTGCCCATGGGTGTGCTTGGGTCCACTAAGCACGCTGCTCATCGCAGCACAGGGACCTTTCGCTGTCGCCACGTCTCATAACTTTACACAGAGCTAAATATCAGTAGGTGGTTCTGCCATATGGCGGTAATTTCAGCTTTTGAGTTGCAACAACAGAAGTATCTCAGGGGAACAGACGGATGATGGACTTGCACTTTCATTACGATACGAACTGGCACCACACGCCATGACATTTCCAGTGAAAAGTGATATTTTTAATCTCAGGGAAATGTACGGGGGACAGATGTAGATTTTAGATTTCTCTGGAATCAGAAAGGTTAGCAGCAAGAGTGTGTGCAATGTGTATGTCGTGTTTGCTGACGCGGGTTTTTCGTGTGTTTCTTTCTGCAGGCTTACCGTTTCCTTGCCGTCAATAAAAAGCTGGGGTTGAGTGGGCGTCCAGAGAGGCCAGTGGGCTGCATTGGGACCTGCAAGGTATATATCGATTGCATACCGGTACACATGGGCACACACGTGGTGCAAAGGTCATGGGTGACCGCTAACACACCTCCCACATGTTGATCTGCATACGTTTCCCAGAGCTCTGAGGAGTCGAACTGAACATAGAGACAGAAAATATTCAGTTCCAAGAGTTTTTCTCTTCGTCAGACTTGCAGTATGCATCAGTGAATGCAGAATAGATTCTTTTAATATGCTAAGCTGTCAGGCAGTTTGTGCGTGTGCATATCTGGTGCCTGTGGAAGTGTGTGTGTGTGTGTGTGTGTGTGTGTGTGAGATGTTGTTTGCAGTTTCTTCCAAATGAAGGTCACCAAATAAGTTGAGCCACAGCAGCTTTCTCAAACAAAGGCATTACCAAACAAATGAATCATGGCTCCCAACGCATTGCTAAGACAGTATTATAATGGGACATTTATAGTGAAGATGGCAGACTGCCAGAGGGCATTATCATCATCAGTGTGTGTCTGTGTTTGAGCCCCTGTGACAATTTGTATGTGTGAGAGGGGGCTTCATATCGGTTGTGTGTATATAGTGTGTGTGTGTGTGTGTGTGTGTGTGTGTGAGATCAGGAGTGGATGTGTGGCTTCTGTGTGTCTCCTCTATCTTAGGATTGATGGCTTGTTTTATACACTGCACAGAATAATGTATACGTGGCTACTTGCGAGCCATCCGTCTTCTCATGCAACTGTGTCTGTGTGTGTGTGTGTGTGTGTGTGTGTGTGTGTGTGTGTGTGTGTGTGT